AAAATCTTGTAATTGGATTTTTAAAAGCTCCTTGTGAAGTAATTATCTATAATCCATTCTCAAGTATTCTTTCTCAATAAACCTGTAAGAGACACAAGAGATATCACATACCCTTCCCTTTACAACTGCTACTCAGTTCTCTTTGAAACAAGATACTGCAAGGAGTCTTTAAAAAAGAAAAATGACCATTTTCAAAAACTAAATAGGAATTACAAGACAAGAAATGAGGCCTAATGTATAGGCTGAGGTGAAATGAGGAGGGCCAAATAAGTTACACAATACCATTAGGAATGCTACAAGAAATAATTAAGCCAACAAAAATATTTAAGTGCCTATTAGTGTTAGAGATGTTGGCACCATACATCATTAGCTATCATGAGGGAACACTGGTGAATTCAAAATTTCCTAAAATCAGTTTTTAAAAGTTAGCTTAGAAGAAATGAACAAATAAAGCACTGAAAGTGAAAATAAAAGGTGACCAGTGCTGTCACATTTTTAGTAAAGTAACTGACATTCTGGCAGTGAAATAGCAACAGATTGTTTATATATTCCAGGACACACAACTTTTAAATTGCAATTGTGTTTCCTAAGGCTTTAAAGTTTTAAAAAATGTTTTCCATGAGAACTCACCAGCAGAGACCCACAGCAGTGATTTGGTAATACCTTTCTGCTATTTAGCAGCTTGGGAATTATGAGAAGCTATTTGGTCCCTCAGATTGTTTAGCTGGGACATTTTTGATGCAGAAAACAAAAATGATTAATGTGATATTTGCACTACAAATCACAATCATGCTTCATTTGCCAGAATCTTCCCTAACAGCTGATACTCAGATTTAGGGTGATAGGAATAAGTTAGTCAACAAGAAGCAAACTCACTTACTAGTAACTATGTATATGTAGTGCATTAAATGTTACAATGATTCTTTTAATAAGCACTGTCTTGCCCTGACCAGGTGGCTCACATGGTTGGAGCATCCCAAAAGCTTGTGAGTTCAATTCTCTCTCTCTCTCTCTCTCTCTCTCTCTCTCTCTCTCTCTCTCTCTCTCTCTCACACACACACACACACACACACACACACACAATAACTGAGGATTATTGTTTTAGGTCGCTATTTTTGCAGTTGTCTATCACACAGCAGTGGGTAACTGACACATCACACTAAATCTCTTGATGAGGGAACATAACAGAAGAAAACCCCATTTTAGATGAAAAGTCAAACATAAACCCTTAATATAGAATATACACAATTTGTTAAAGTCCTTTTGTAACATACTCAAGCATTACTGAGGTTCCTAATCATTAATATGGCCTACCCTCATCTAAATAATAGACTTCTTCCTGGCCGGGTAGCTCAGTTAGTTAGAGCATCTTCCCAATACATCATGGTTATGGGTTTGATACCTGGTCAGGGTACATACATAAATCAACCAATGAATACATAAATAAGTGTAACAACATCTCTCTCTCCCTCCTCTCTCATGCTGCTATGAGTAGCAGGTGGGAATGTCATTTGAAAAGTTGGTAAAGCTTACCAGTTAATTTTTTTCACTGCATCTAACACAGTTCTTGGCACATGGAAGGAGAAATGTTTGTTAATGAATAATGGATCTCTCCTTATTCCTCATCCCAGGCCCCTAGCATTATTTCCCTTGGCCTCACTTTTAAATTTCCCTCCAGCTTCCTTCATCTTTGTTCATTAATCTCACTGAAGAAATGTTATTCCACTCACATTAATCATTCCACTTAATATTCTCAACCCCACCTATTTCTTCTTCCTCCAGGATGTTAATTCACCTCTTCCTTTATCATTTTCTCATTCTCTACTGCAGTGAGGGTGAACCTTTTGAGCTCGCGTGTCAGCATTTTGAAAAACCCTAACTTAACTCTGGTGCCATGTCACATATAGAAATTTTTTGATATTTGCAACCATAGTAAAACAAAGACTTATATTTTTGATATTTATTTTATATATTTAAATGCCATTTAACAAAGAAAAATCAACGAAAAAAATGAGTTCGCCTGTCACCTCTGACACGCGTGTCATAGGTTCGCCATCACTGCTCTACTGCCTCCTTGCACTCATCCTATAACCCTTTCTGTCCTCTCCTATCAGAAGAAAAAATATTTTTACTCAGCCTGTCACTAAGGTTACTCTTTACCTACAGTGTAGCCACTTGATTTTAGAAAATAAAATTATTTAAACGTAATGCCTCTATGTCTTCCTCTTCGATTCAACACATATATCAGCAGGTCCCCAAACCTTTCACATCATTTATATTCTTTTCTATCAACATGATTTTACATGATTGCAGAGCAAACAGAACTGTGACATCTTTCACAGTTGAAGAACTACCATTTAATAAATATTTACTATGCATTAGATACTATGCTAAACACTTTTACATATATTATTCCTCAATTATTCAAAATAATCCTGTGAGGTAAAATATTTTCATTTGACAAATAAGGATACTGAAGCTTAATTTTTCTCGTGTTCATCTATTTATGACCTCAGAATCGTTCACCTTGTAAGTCTCAGTAGTCAGGTACAAGTCGATACTCACCCGTGTACTAATCAACTCCAATGATTGCTCTTTGACTCAGGGTCCATCATATACCAACCCTGCTCTGCTGAAGGTCACCAAAGACTTACCAATTACCTCTGCATTGTTCACATCCCATTAGATTTGCTATGGGATTTGGTCCTGCTTATTACTCATACATTATAAGGATACCCCTGCCTTCGTCGGTTTCTTTTTTCTTCCCACTCCTAGCTCCTTAACCCCTTCCTCCCTCTCTCCCTTGCAATATGTATGTGTGTATGTGTGTGTGTGTGTGTGTGTGTATATATATATATATATATATATATATATATATTTCTCCCATATTAAGAAAAATGCACCCTTCCAATTCTGCCTGCCCTGCATAACCACTGCCCTTTTCTTTTCACTCCTCAATGAATGAGACATTTACCTTATTATTTCCACTTTCAAATCTCTCATTCATTCTCCAACCTACTAAACTCAGTTTTACAATAAGCACTTCATGAAACTGCTCTTTCCATGACCAACAATAATCTCTCATTAAAAATCAAATAAAGCCAGCACCGGTTTGGCTCAGTGGATAGAGCGTCGGCCTGCGGACTCAGGGGTCCCGAGTTCGATTCCAATCAAGGGCATGTACCTTGGTTGCTGGAACATCCCCAGTAAGACATGTGCAGGAGGCAGCTGATCGATGTTTCTCTCTCATCGATGTTTCTAACTCTCTATCCCTCTCCCTTCCTCTCTGTAAAAAATCAATAAAATATATTTTTTAAAAAATCAAATAAAAATTGCTCACTTCCTATCTCACATGACCTTTTTGAAAGTATCATTGGCACTTTAAACTCAATATGCTTAAACAATAAACTTATGGTCTCCACTTGCCACTCAGTTTGCTTTTCATTCATGTTTTTATCTTATATTTAACTGAAGCTCTATAACCCTATTTTAGTAGGTTCAGGACCTTATGGAGTTCTCATCCACATTTCCCTTTCACTTACCCAATCTTTTCACCCAACTCCTAATTTCTACTTGGGAAAACCCCTTAATTAGTGGTTCTTAACCATAGATGCTTAAAATATCCTGGAGAGCTTTTTAAAAAATACTCATAACCAGCACTGGCCAGCATTGCTAAGTGGTTAAAGCATTGGCCTGGGCACCAGAGGGGTCATGGGTTTGATTCCCATGTGTTTTAGGCCCACATTATCTCTCCCCTGGAATGTTTTAGTCCCGTTTATGTTTACTTTTTGTAGTCTTTCACAGTGTAAGTCAATGCGGTAAAGAAGAAATCTGGTATCTACTGTTTTTCAAGGCATTCTGTATACAAAGCAAAAGAGGAAGAAGAAAAGGAAGAAAGAACAGAAGAACAGAAAGAAAGGCAAATAGACAAACTCGTACCTTAGTAAAAATAGTAATGATCTATGAGTTCTCTATGTGGGTAAGGGGAGCAAGAGATGCCCAGTATATGTCTTCCCAACTTTTCAGTTTCTCTAAGCAAAGTATCTGCCATCATTTTAATTATCTCAACTTGAGTCCAAATGAGAGATAATAAAAAATACTAGTTGATATATTTGCATAAATTACTCTTTCAAATTGATGTATCTTCTATAAATTGAAAAAAAAAAACTTTTTAAAAATCCCATTTAATCATTGTGCTATTAGCTGCAGTGTATTATCAAAAGTCACAATCCACCTGTATAGCATTAGTAGAGTAGCACAGGACTTGCCGATGAAACTAAAGAACAGGATTAAACTCAACTATAGACACAGATTCTCAGATCTCCTCTTACCCATCAAAACTAATACCAAACTTAAAATCATATACATGATAATATCTGGTGTTAAAACTAGAAGCTTTTATGTGTTAAGGCAACAAGAGTATATAAAAATAAAATAAAATCTATAGAATGTTATTCCAAAAATAGAGAACCTAAAAAATTAATTAGTTACTCATCCATACATACTCTCATACTCCAATCCACATCCTGGCATAGTATAGTGGATAGGTACCATATTGCTCAAAGGGGATAAAATCTCTCATGCACATAAACACACACATAGTACATGTGAAAACTGGAGAAATCTGAATAAGGTCTGTGTTTGAGTTAATACATTATTCTGCCAATATCATGGCCTTGGTTGACAATGATTTCATAAGATGTTATCACTGGGGGATGACAGAGAAAGGGCACATGGAGTCCTCTGTGCTATTTTCATAACTTCTTGTGAATCTTAAACTATCAAATATTGGGACCTGTGTAAATGGCAAGACTTGCCATGGATTTCCATTTTATAAAATTAAAGAAATTATGTCCGTTTTCACTTGAATTCAAAGGTTTTCCTGGATTGTAACTGAAGTGCTTTTAAAATAAATCCTAGAAAACAGATTCTCAAAATGTAACTCATGAAAGAGACTCTATTTTATATCCCAATTTTATTCACTTTTCTGAATAGTCACAACAGTATTCTATTGGGGATAATCTAGTTAGTATATTTGAAATTCCATTTATTTTTTTCTATTGATATGCATGTATTACACATATATAGTACAGAATTTTCAGTGTTGTTTTAAAGAACATGGTTTAATAAATGAGAGGCATGATCTATAATTTCAAACCAATCTAGGACAAATTTGTAATTTCCAAAGTAATATGGTTTTCTTCTTTGTTACAAACAAAGTAATGATATAATTGATGCAGAAACTCCAGCACAACTGTTATTCCTGTCTTAACATTCATACAGTATTGAACCATTGCAAAATCCATGTGGAGCCATCTAGTTTTATGTATAATTAAAATAAAAGGAGTAAGTCATTTCATTGACTTATAGGGCAGTATACTTTAGTTCAATGTCAAAAGTATACTTTACAAATTTAACTTTTAACAAATTTTACCACTTTTAGTTGTTTTGCCCAGAAACGTTTCTATCAGTCTTTGAAAGTTGTTACCTACTAACAGACCGAAGGTCTTCAGGCTGCTCAGCCTCCATCATGGAAACCAACATATACCTAACTGGCCACGTCAGTGAGTTTTAGAAACACAAAAGATGTCCACACCTTCTCTAACATAATGGAATTTCTAATAGGACAATTTCTGAAGTACCTTCCTATTAGTCTAAGATGAGTAAAACACAGGAGTCCCTCCATTTACATTCCTTCAAACTGTAAGTTTACACAATATTATTACAGAATAGCTTTGCAATTTCCATTCTTCTCTCCCTTCACATCATAAATGAAACAAAATAAATGTAGTATAAAAGTATACATTCTGTAATAACTTAGGGAAAAAGGTACATACATGTTTAAGGCCTTTAAATATTTATATGATTTTCCTATAGAACTGAAAACCACAAATGTTAAAATTACTACAAAAATGTGAGCAAAAAATAACCTAAGAAATTGTTCAAATGGGACAACTATAAGCAAATATTTATAAATTTGAGACCAAAGAAAATGATAATTTATTTTATCTACAGACTGGACAAACAGCATTCAAACAGTCATTGGGATCAAGCAAGAGACAGTCTTCTAAAATGAGATAGAAAGAACAGTTTTAAAATGTAATAAATGTAAATGAATAACTTTCAAGCTAAGAAATCAGAAACCCACATGCATCCCTGGCAATTTTTGAAACTGAAGGCTACCTAACTCAATACTTGACTGCTCACTGCTGATTTCTGTGAAGGAAAAAGTAAACATGAAAAGGAAAGAAAACAGCCCACTTAAAAAAAAGAAAGAAAGGAAGAGTGCTCTAGAGGTATAAAATAGTATACAATGAAAATGGTAATTCAGTTCTAACTCCTACCTATTTAACTGACAGAGAGCTGCAGTAGTGTGTTAGCCTTGGGGAAACATGTCAGCTAGTCTATACATTCTTAGGTGATTGATGTATTCAGATAAGTATTACTTGCCAACAATAATTATTATCAATGGATATATTTTTCCATTCCTTTAACAAAAGCAACTTTAAGATGTTAAAACATGTAGGCTTTCAGAGCTCCAAGATTAGGATACAAATAAAATGATCTCAGTCCACACCATGCCAGAGAAGTTTGCAAAGGAAATGTCACTAAAGCCATATACAGTCCCACTAGCCACTGAACACAGGACCAGACCCAGGAACACATCCATGACAGAGGGCCAGTGCATTTGGGAGACTTTCAGGAACAAGAAAAGCAGTCACATTTGGAGCCAGGAGCCCACAATGCGAGTGTCTCTGACATCGCCCGGAAACACCAACTCTTCAGATGACGACTTCAAATTCTTTTAGGAAGTGCAATTTTACAAGTTGAACACAGTTCAAATCTGAACTCTTCATGACACAGAAGTTCATGTCTGACTTTCTTAAAGTCTTGATTTCAAGAAGATGCTGATTACGAGCCATAAAATCCCTTGGAAACAAGAGTCTGGAGTGCCTCTTCAGAGCAGTATAAAAATCTCCCTCCAAGACCGCCAGAGAAGTTAAGTTTCTGTGCATATGTCCAATGTAATCAGCCTCGAGGGTCGTTTGATTTATTCTTAGTTAATGGGTTACCTACAAAGGAAGAAGAAAATATAATAATTTCATAAAATAGCTATAATCTTAAATCCCCAAAGACAATTTAGTATTAGAAGTTAATATATCATTCAAAATGCTGGTATGTGTTCTATGAAATTGTTGAATTTTAAAAGACTACCACATTCAGGTGTTCCCAGCTTATTAAAAGTTACACCTATATTTTTTCCCTTTATCATTTCATAATATTTCTAGAACCACTTGCAGAATTATCTAAATGACTTCAACTGTGACCGGGAAACTCTTAACAGGTGATGCTATCCCTCTCAGACCCAAAGAATGAGTCAGGAATTCCTGTTCTTTGCACAGGCTTGGAGGACATGATCCAAAGACCATAAACACATCATCCCAGCCCTTGGGAATGGACTCCATAAAATCCATTCTTGAAATAGATTAAAAATTGAGTGCTTATTTGACTTAAATTATGTATCAGGAAAATTAATTATTCATGAAGGTGTTTGGAATTGCCTAACAGTCCTTTTCTAGCAATGGTTGTAACAAAATTGGAATTCTTAAAAATTATTCTGGATACTTTGATTCCATTCCAATTAGTGACATAGTTATTTCTCCTTTCATAAAACATTTACAAAATGGCTACTTTTCTTTTGCTTTGTTTTTGTTGGGTTTTTAATCAACTATGAAAAAGAGAAACATCGAACAAACAAAAAAATAAAGCTTCCTCTAGATCAGGGGTTCTCAACCTGTGGGTCGCGACCCCTTTGGCGGTTGAACGACCCTTAGGGGTCACCTAAGACCATCATGCATATCAGATATTTACATTATGATTCATAACAGTAACAACATTACAGTTATGAAGTAGCAACGAAAATAATTTTATGGTTGGGTCACAACATGAGGAACTGTATTTAAAGGGCCAGAAGGTTGAGAACCACTGCTCTAGATTTTGTTCTACCAGAGCTAGTCTCAAATTATACCACAAAAGGAAGGTGTAAAATTCACAAATTCTTTTGTGTCTCTGTGGTGGGCCCTCATTCCCATGGAAGGAGCCTCTGCCTATACATTTGAAATTCCTTACTCCTGTGCACTGAGGAACTCTGGGAGGAAGTGAACTTGGGATGGGAGGTTACAAACACATAGGTAAAGGGCCCCCTGACCTCTGGATATTCTAGGATCAGGGGAGCAGGTAGGGCAGCAGCTCGCTATCAGTTTGCCATTCAGTGGTCAGGTGCTGTGAATGGCTTCCATTTTAAGTGTCAGTGTAAGAAGAACATGGGATGGGAATAGGACTATTTCCATGGACATTGTGCCATAGACCACTAGTGGAGATCACTGATGAGTGTGAAAAATATGAACATTTTATTATTACAAACTTTCTTGCTAAACATTAATTCAACAAATCTTTGATTTCCATACGTTGAAAAAGATCCACCTGCCTCTTCTGAAAGTTCTTAGTAGGAAAAATTATGAAGCATAATATAAGATCATATTTCTAAAACGAGTGGTTGGAATGATAGGAAAAGAGAGGAAGTGATACAGAGTGGGAGGGGAAAAGACTGCGAGAGAACAAATGACTTAGCCTCAGCAGGGACACAGCATAGGCAACTGGAGGGATGTGGTGTCATGACTGTGAAAGTCAGGGCATGTCCTCTTGAGTCACTTCAAGCCCAGTTCCTAAGTCATTTATTAGTGGGTATGATAGATGCATTCTTCATTCCAAGCTAAGCTAAGTACTTCATTCTGCTGCTTTATGTAAATCTCAGGAGTGATTCTCTCAACTAATTATATTTTAAAGCTTTCTTTTCAAATAATTTTAAAAATAGGCATCCAACTCGACAGTACAATACACAGGCTTATGTACCTAGAACAAATTTCTTCTCTATCTCGGTAGAGAAAATACATCTGTATACATGCAAACATACAAACACATATAATAATACAATCCTACCATCAGGAATATCATAAGCATATATTCTCATTACACTCAGTTTTTATCAGCTAAAATAATTGCTAGAAAACCAAAATGTCAACCTGACTAAAAGAAGTAATTATTGAAATAAGCATGGATTGAAACATAATTAAGGTAATTTTTTAACACTCTAATTGTATAAAATATTCTTTGTTTATTAATCCTAAATATATTCTAGCATATTTTATGTGGTGAAGAGTAGGGCATAAGTTGTTTCTAATATCAGATGAAAGTGAACAATTGCTTTAGGTTGGATTTTGATCAGAAGGTCATGTGGTTCAGCATTCTGGATTTCAGTCAGTGTGGCAGTACTACTGTTCACACTGGATGTGTCATGCAACCTCTGGGAGCTCAGTTTTTCCATATGTAAAGGCAGGGGGGGGGGATCCTGTTACCCTCACAGGGTTCTGTGAGGATCAAATATTATGTTATGAAAACACCCAGCTTTGAAGACTGAAGTACTATAAAAACAAAAGTTTTAGAGTTTTGTTTTGTTTTTTTAACTGCATACATTTTTAACAAGAGAGCCACTAAAAGTAGAATGAAAGAATCACACTAACAACAAGTCAGAGGATTAATTTAGGGAATTCAAACAAAGACTAAGTAATAACTTGCCCTTTTCAATGTAGTTATAAATACAAATGTATTTACCCTCCCTGACAACCTCCAGATTTTGTAGCAAATGAAATGGCAAAACCAAAGATTTTAAAAATTATAGAAGTCTTGAGGCCTGGTGCACGAATTCTTCCACCAGTGGGGTCCCTCAGCCTGGCCTGGGGGATCAGGCTGAAACTGGCTCTCTGACATCCCCCAAGGGGTCATAAATTGTGAAAGGGTGAAGGTCAGGCTGAGGGACCCCACCTGTGCACGATCAGGGCCGGGGAGGGATGTGGGAGTTTGGCCAGCTGGGGAGGGACCACAGGAGGGCTCCAGGGCATGTCTGGCCCATCTGTCTCAGTCCTGATCTGCCAGAAGCCAGCAGCAAGCTAACCAACCAGTCGGAGCATCTGCCCCGTGGTGGTCAGTGCACATCACAGCAACTGGTCAATTGATCGACTGCCCTCTGGTGGTCAGCACATGTCATAGAAAGCAGTTGAGTGGCCTTAGCATATCATTATCATATTACACTTTGATTGGTTGAACGGCCGACCAGGCAACAGGACACTAGCATATTAGGCTTTTATTATATAGGACTAGAGGCCCAGTGCACAAAATTTGTGCACTGGGGGGTGGGGTTCCCTCACCCCAGCCTGCCCCTCTCACAGTCTGGGAGCCCTCAGTGGATGTCCTACTGATGGCCACAGTCTGGCAGCAGAGGCTCGGAGCAGGCGTCCCATGTGTGTGTGTGTGCGCGCGCGTGTGTGTGTGTGTGCGTGCACACGCGCGCATCTGTCTGCTAGGGCCTGCCCCCAGCCGCATCACGTAGGCTCGAAGCAGTTGCCATGTGTGTGTCCCCATGGGGGTCTGCCCCCACCCACATTGGAGGCTCAGAGCAGGCACTGTGTGTGTGTGTGTGTGTGTGTGTGTGTGTGTGTGTGTGTGTCTTCTGGGGGCCTGCCTCCAGCCACACCATGGAGGCTTGGAGCAGGAGCCCCTCTGTGTTGATCTCTCAGGCTCCTGGCCTCCACTGCATGTTGTACTTTCCCTTGAGCTATGGCCAGGATAGGCGTGCTGCTTGCAAGCCAGGCTTTCCTGCTCCTGGATCGCCATGGCGACAGGGGAGCAGGCCCAGCTGGGGGCTGCCCACAGGCCAGGCTTTCCCGCTCACAGGTCTCCATGGCAACCGGGGAGCAGGGAAAGTTTGGGGCTGCCAGCAGGCCAGGCTTGCTTTCCTGCTCCCGGATCAGGTCCAGCTGGGGACTGCCTACAGGCCGCACTTTTCTACTTACTGATGTCCAGATCACCACAGCGACCCAGGGCCCAGAGACACTTTCCTGCTCTCCAATAGTCATAGGGTCCCAGCTGGGGGCGGGGCTTAGGCGGCAAGGGGCCCCGGCTGGGGGCTCAGGTGGCACACAGGGGTCCCAGCTGGGGGCGGGGCTTATTCCCTGCTGTCCAGAGCTGCACATGGGGCCCGGATGGCAGCTCACGCTGTCCTGCCCTGCCTATAGTATAGGATAGAGGCCTGGTGCATGGGTGGGGGCCAGCTGGTTTACCCTAAAAGTGTCCCAGATCAGGGTGGGGGTCCCACTTGGGTACCTGGCCAGTCTGGATGATGGGCTGAAGGCTGTTTGCAGCTGGTCACACCCCCTTTAGGGTGGGGGTCCCCACTGGGGTGCCTGGCCAGTCTGGGTGAGGGGCTGAGGGCCGTTTTCAGGTTGGAGGGCAACTTAAGCTGCCAGCCTCTCCTTTTTTTCTTTTTTTTTATTCTGGGATTTATTTACCTTCTATAGCTGTCACTGGAGCTGAGAGCTGGCTCCAGCTCTGAGGGCTGAAAGCAGGTTTCTGGGTCTGTTTGGCTTCTATAACTGAAACTCTGTTGCCATCACAGCAGCTCTAAGCTCTGAGGCCAAAGCTGGCTGAAAGCAGGTCTCTGGAGCTTTTTTAGCTTCTATAATTGCAACATAGTTGCTTAGAGTGCAGCTCAGAGCCCAGCTGCAACAGGCCGGGAACGTTGGCTTCCTTCGTCACTGGAGCAAGCAAGCCTCCTGTTTGCTTCAGCTGCATGGCTGCTGGCCGCCATCTTGGTTGGCAGTTAATTTGCATATCCTGCTGATTAGCCAATGGGAAGGGTGTCCGGGTTATAGTCAATTTGCATGTTTCTCTTTTATTAGATAGGATGCTTCTGAATATAGGTACATTATCACCAGTTTTCATCACCTAATATGTAAGATCCAAATAACATCCTATATAATAAAAGGCTAATATGCAAATCAACTGAATGGCTGAATGACCGGTCACTATGACGTGCACTGACCATCACTTGGCAGACGCTCAATGCAGGAGCTGCCCCCTGGTGGTCAGTGTGCTCCCACAGGGGGAGCGCCGCTCAGCCAGAAGCCAGGCTCAAGGCTGGCCAGTGAGTCTCTCCTGCCTCTGTGGTAGCACTAAG